GTGTGCATTCTTTAATTCCGATCCCACCCAAGCCCTTGTCATGCTTGCGGTCCTCTAATTTCTACAGCACAAACAGTTTCGTGAATGTTCTACATGAGTATATACTTTAGTTTAATTTACAAATTTCTTGTAATTGTTTAATTATAATGTCTGTAGCTACATAATACTATGTTGTAAAGGAGGCCCTGCAGTTTTTGTCCGTTTGCTTTTTCAACAATCAGATTTTTCCTTTAATATAAGCAATCCTTAACATGTGATCAATTATAAACTATGACTCAGCAGCATTAAAAACTGATATTGCATGTGAAATTCAGGATCCATAATGTGGTACTTTCTCTACAATTTTGTATGGATTCACTTTGCTTTTTAAAATACGAATGAAACAAATAAAACAAATTAAAAAAAAATAAACCAAAATAAAACAAATTAAATTTGAGATCCTAAAATAACCGTTTGTCCATATCGAAATTTGAGTTTGAAGATATAAATTCCAGTAGCTTCGATTGAATATTTTGCAAAAATGTTTTGTCAAAGTTTTATTCAATGAACTGCCCTCGGCTGTAGACAGTCAGGCAGACATATGCGTGTGTGTGTGTATCTTATACATATTTGAACAATGGCCACAATGAAATCGGCAACAAATTTCCATTTTCATTTGCATAACGCGCTGTTTTTCGATAACACCTGAATGCGAATGCCAGGATGATGGTTGACAGACTGAGTGTAGGACCGATTGACTGGTTGACTATTTGACTTGGGCGCCATTGTCAATGTTGAGTTGTTAACAATGACAATGGAAGGTTCTTGCGACTGTGTCAGTGTATTGTGCATTGTACGAGTATTTACATGGCAATTTATTTGCATAGTATTGGTTGGCTGTCATTCTTGTTGTCTGTTTTTTGTGCATTATTGTCGCCACCATTGGCGCATCCTTATCAAAGTTTGCTGTTTTTTCCCACCAGCACTACCACCCATTGGGTTGCGTTGCGTTGCGCTGTGCTGCTTGTGTTTATAAGTTCTGATTTGTGAATTGTGATTTTTATAAATACCCCCCTGGTGGTCCCTTTGAATCAACAAGTTTGGCCAACAGCTGCGCGTGGTCGCCGCCTGCTGAGCCAAGAAGGAGTGGCGGTAATTAATTGCCCAGCATTTGATAGCTCCGCTTGAGATGTCTTATTTATGCTTTGTAAACTACAAATGTGGCTTTTGGGCTCTGGTTAGATAATCTAACAAAAAGGCCAGAAAATCAATCATGCGCCAAGTGTGTCAATATGTCAAGCGTTTTTGTGCAAACACTGCCTTTTGTCTTTGCTGACCCTGTTCTTGTGTTCTTGTGTCTTTCGCCTTCTGTTTCTAAATCTTAATAAAACAAAGGTTATGCTAATAATATTGTGACATTTTGTTGTTGTTTGCTATCTAAATACAAATAACCTCAATTTTTATTGGTCAACCGTAGGGAAGAAATGATACCAAACAAGAGAGAACGCTACAGTCGAGCAAGCCCGACAGTGTAATACCCTGTACCCAGGTAAACTTCCGTCACTGAGTTATATGCGCCCATAGCAGCAGCAAAAAGAGGAAGAAGAAGAGCGAACTTGTTGCTGCAGTTTGTGGGGATTGTACTGTAGAGAATTTGTTTCGCTAATAACTTTTCTCAGAATTGACCGAATTAGATAAAATTTTAAACAACTGTAGACAATTATATATTAATTATGTGTGCAAAGTTTGGTTTAGGTAGCATTTGAAATGTGGACGCTATTGACGAAATTCTGTAGCGGGGGAAGGGGGGGAAAATTAAAAAAAAAAAAATAAACTCGTCCTTACTCGGACCTAGGAGAATCTGGATGCCAACTTTGGTTATTCTAGCTTTTATAGTTTCTGAGATCCTCGCGTTCATCCAGACGGACAGACGGACAGACGGACGGACAGACGGACGGACATGTCTAGATCGATTTCTCTCGTCATGCTGATTCAGAATATATATACTTTATGGGGTCGGAGATGCTTCCTTCTGTATGTTACATACTTTGCACAAACCTAATATACCCTTTTTACCCTACGGGTACAGGGTATAAAAAAAAAAAAAAGAAATTACACTAAAAAAATGGCTGTAAAGGGGCAGAGGAAAACATGAACAAGAACAAAGCCTCTAACGAACTGACCTCAATACACTAAAAACAATAAATTGTGAATGCAAAGGATGCAAAATAAATTGTGAGACTTCGACACCCACAAGCACAGACAGACAAAGAGTCAGAGAGAAATAGGGAGAGAGAGACATAAAGAAAGAGAGAGAAACAAACAGGTCAGCATAAGTGGGTGAACAGGAAAGATGAAAAGCAGGCCATTGCGAGTTTCAAGTGGCCTCCATTTTTTGAATGTGTGTGTCTCTTTGTATCTCTATCTGTTTGTGTGTGTATATATATATATATATATATTGAAATTTAAAGTAAATGCAACTATTCTGCAGTGGGCAAAAGTTGTTCTTAAGCATATGACCCACGATATTTTATGGTCTTTTTTATACATTCATTGTCCAGCGGCCAGCACGTTAAACAATTTGACAAAATAAAAAAGTTTTTTATTATGATGCTGGCGACTTACATTTGCATTCTTATTTTAATCGATTGCAATTCAAATTGTGCCGAGCATGAGAAGAGAGTGGTAAAAGGACGGAAGTAAGAAAAATAAAAGTAAACTATGCAGCTAAGCAGATGAAGAGTTATGAAGAGTTATGTGGGTGCGTGTTTCCAAATTGATTTTTCGTGCAGAGTTGCGCACTTACAGTTACTACTTACTGCTTTTTTTTTAGCAATCCCGCTTCCGCTTCTTTCACCCATTAAAAGTCAATTAATGACCATTCATAAATATAATACACAAATTTTGAATTAATGATAAATTATTTGTGAAGTAATATGCTAACCATTAGACTTATTAGAAAGTATAGAAAGCCAAAAAGAGTTTGTTAAATTAAGATGCAACAGTATTATGCAAATGTTATGCAAACTAGTTTTAATTTTGCTTTTACCCTTTTGGCTACATTCTAAACAATTTGCCTGCATGGGGAGGGAAAAGTTATCGTTTTTGCCTCAACAGTCTTCAAGCTGTTGCTTATTGCTATAGACTGCTTGCATTTTCAGTTAACTCGCCTCATTGTTATGCCAATGCATTTCTATCCCCTATATTGCTTTGCCCTTTCTCTATATAGTATGCACGAATATATGCCTGCAACATTTTGGCATGCAAATGTCGTCCCAGTCCCCGCCAGTCTCGCAATGAATGTAGCCATTAAGCTGCACATAAAAAGCAATAAACACTGTCGTCCTCTTGTAGTTTATGCCATTTGCACACAGCGTACATTCCGCACTTTAAACCGGGCAATGGCTAAAATAGCCAAGTACACTTAGCGAATAAATGGATTTCAAAGAATTCATCACCTGAACTCAACTGAATTTGATTATGGTGAAGTTGTATTTAATTAGTGATCTGAAAATGCATATTTCAAATATTAAACAAGAAAATGAATATATACATTTTAAATATGATTCGTATCTCACAATCGATTGTAATTTAAAAGTCCTGTAACGAAGAACCAAATCATTTCGAAACTGCTTGTTGTTTTAACATTTACAACACAATTATTTAGAAAACATATGTGTGACTAGATTTTAAAGATTAATTATAATTTAATTCATTTTTCTTTAAGTGCCGTGCTAGTGTCCGTGCTATCGAGACATTGCTTTTGGCTTATTGTAATGGGTAATGGTGGCCTCTGGCCCGATCTCTATTGCACTTCATTGGAGTTTTTTCTGGCACTGCGCTACTGGTTCTCATTGCTTTTTTGCTTCTACCCTTTGGCTATTGTGGTGTTGTACTATTGTTGTACTACTATTTTTGTTTTTTGTTGTTCCTGTTGCTGTTGTCGCGCGTTGCCCATGCAATAGCCGCCTGTTGCTATTGCATCCGATACTTTGTCTTAATCTGAGGCGCAGACTACACAAAATTGCACTGCTCTCGTAAATTTTTATGGCATCAATTAAGCGTCGGATGGCACAGACAAAAATTATGCAAACACCCTTTGGCGATTAGTTGGGCATACATATACAAGTGTAATACATATGTGCATATACTCGTATTGTATCGGATCTATATATACAAATACTTTACATGTTTGTTTTGTTTTGTACACAAAAGCAAACTAAAACTTACCATGATTGGACAAATGTAAAAGCAAGATGAGAATATATAGTTATGAGCAAACTGCTAGTCAATGGCACTGATGTTCCAATTTCGTTATAGATAGATAATAACTCTTTTGAGCAAATATTACTTACATGAAAGAGACGCCTATGGCCTTGCAGAATTTAGTCTGCAATCATACATATATACTTATTCTGTAATCACATTTAAGAAGGCACAATTTGTATTCACTTTATATAGCTATCTGTATCAGATAATTTCTTTAGTTGATACTTAAGAGCATTCTTGTATTGTTTATTATTTGAAGACAACTTCAAAACGCATTATTTACAATAATAGCAAGAATCGGTAAATGCTTTTGAAATGAATATAATTAAGCAGTGCGACGATCGGACACAAGGCAGCACCACATCGTCATTACCATTATTCAGCATTTTACATTACCCCTTGAGTTAAGTTTTTAAGCACTCAAAATATATACTTCTATGAGTAGATAATCAGCCACAAAAAAACTGAGGAAAAAAGTTGGGATATTTCTTTATTTAATTATAACATTTTATTTTTAGCCACAGCATGCCTACATATGATTAAAAATGTTTCTCTTAATCATTGCTATTTAAGAAATTGATGATTAGGTTCTCAGATTTTAAAATTTGTGATTGAATGTACGGGCTGTACACATTAAAATAAAGTTATTATTATAGTTTTTATAATGTTGTAGATATATAGTATACCCTCAGTTTTTATTCATTTTTAGTTATATTCATCTATCTTTTGTGGTTAACTATAAACCCCTCTGATTAATTTTTAAAAATTTGCAAATTTCTCTTGAAAATTGTTTCCTTCACAGCTCCAAATGCAAAATTCATATTATTAGTATCGGTGGCACACGTATAGTGTGTGTATATCTTTTGGCCAACTTGATTTTGTTGTTCAAACATGGCTCTTATAAATTTACGGGCAGCATCAGCATCTTGCTTTGGTCCATTATATTCGGGGAAATAGTCCACCAAATCGGATTCCATGATTTTTTTCTCGAACAAATCTGTCTTGTTCAAGAAAAGTATAACTGTTGAATTGCTAAAAATAGGGTCGTTTATCAGTTCATGAAACAGAGCTATGGATTCCTTCATGCGATTCATGTCATTAAATTCATAGAGCACTTGATCGTACTCCGAAAGCGATGCCATAAATATCAGCGATGTAACACTATCTAAAACAGATTGCCATTTACGTCTTTCGCTTCGCTGACCTCCGACGTCGAACATTCTAATCTTGAAAGAGTCTACTTTGAAAAGATGTCCCTCCGTTCCTTCCGTAGCCATACGGGCTCTCAAAATATCTTGTTCTGTGGGTAGATAATCAGGCTGAGTTATTCTTTCGAGATGCGTCATATAATATTCAGTGGAGTCTGTAAGTTGATATTGTCTTCTGCGACTGTAGCATTCCTGAACTCCAACATCGTTCCAGAGCGCCTTAATTGCGTCTACATATATATCTTCGAAGGTTGTAAGAGCTTCGTAGTCAACACTTTTGATCAGCTCAGCAAAATCGGTATGTGGTGGGGTCTCATAAGAAATATTCAGCACAGCCATGGCATCGATCATTGTTTTCATAGACACGAAAATATTTCGATATATTAATGGGATAAAGGCGCGCTTCTGTTCGTTCGAATAGCCTTTCCCATATATAATTTGCATCTGTTTGATCAATGTTGATTTCCCAGCCTCTCCAGCGCCCAATATAAAAACCTTAAGCTCCTCCCTCGATTGACGCTTCTTTTCTCTTTCTGCCTTTTTTAAAGCCTTCGCACGTTCTTTTGCCTGTCTCCCCTCAGCTGTCAAGTTTTCCGTGCAACAGCACAACAAAAAAGACATGTTTATTTATATTGTCTCAACTTTAGCGATCAAATTATATATAATATGGCACCAGCACGCGCCTGCTTTCAATGGCAACGCAAGAAACACTGGATTATATATTTTAATCAGGCATCGATATTATTTATTCACAGTGCTTAGTCAGTGCTCTTTGTGATCCCTAAATAGACTTTCAGTAAACATATTTTATACTTAATTTTATATTGAGTATGATAAATGCTAACTAATATCATTATAATACACACATAATCCATAACCAGAAGTTTTTCACAAATATGATTAAAATAAGGGAGTTATGGATAAGCACTAGGTTTTATAGTCTCTAAGACATACGAACGGTCTGGCGGTCTGTTGATCGAGTATATGAATACTTCTCCTTCTACCTGTTACATTTTTTACTTTCTCGAGTAAGATAGGTAATCTTTGTTGTTGAAAGTTTAAAAAATGCGGCAGTAAATAGTAAGGTAATCAGTTGAAGCGTCCAAAAGGCCATATACTCTATCAGCTGTTTGGGCGGCTGATCTCCCCTAACAGCAACACCTGCTTCCGGTCACGATATATACACACATGCACCTGTTTACTAATCTATGTATGTATGTTTTCCATGCACATCAGCCCTAGACCATGGCAGCGACCTCTGCATGCCAGTCAGAGCGTCAGAGAAGTTGTTAGTCAGTCAGACTGTCTGTCTGTTTGTCTGTTCCTAACACTTTAATTATAAATTTTATTTCAAACTGAAATGAAAGCTACGAATGTCTGGCGCTGACAGCGCCTATGCATGGGCCGACTTTCTGTCTATAAATATGTCTTTCTGTCTCTCGGGCTGTCAGCCTGAAGTGTTGAGGAAAAAAAACGCAAATGCAAACGAAAATGGCAAGGAAAAGCGTTGGAGTAGAAGCAGGAACTGCACATGGCAGCGACTGCGCGACTTTAATAGGCCAGGCTATCAAGTCAAAGCGCACAAATATAGCAATAATAACAACAGCAACAACTTGCGTTTTCCAGTTGCCCCACTTACATAAGAAATCAAACGGTTTGTTGCCAAAAATAGCTAACGATGTAGGGAGGAGGGGCGGGCTATCAAATTGATATGTTTTCTTGCACATTGCAGGCACAAAAAGACACACTCCCAGAATATCAATTGAAATAAAATAATGTAATGAAGGAAAAAATATGCATAGATATTTGCGATAATCAATAATATTTCCGGCTCTGACTGGTTGATTGCTCTTTCGCTGCCACTGCCATGCCTTCGAATTCAATTTCAATGCCTGCCGTGTGCCAAACTGTCTGTGTGTGGAGTATGATGGTTGGTGTGCTCTCCACACTTGCACCAAATTATTTTATTGACCAATTTTGCCTAGCTACGAAATGTCTTCAACTCGAAATTGTTGAATTTAGTTTGCCATCAATGTGTGACGATGACTATTCGAGTATGGCACAACCATCAATGGGTGCGTGTGTCAGGTGGCTTGAAGCGTCCACTAAGCAACATGTTTTAGAAGAGGAGGCCTTCTTGATATCAATTTTAAAGGAAGATTACACAATTCTGCGCATGCAAATAACATTGAAGTGGTGCCAGAATTTTATTCTTTAGATCTATTCAAATCTCCAGCATCTTTACTTAAAAGAAGAAAGGTTTTATAAATGAATGTACAATTCTTTGTATATGAAATTTAACACCACCATATTTATCAGACATACTTGCATTGGACATTGCATTGGACAGACATACTTGCATTATTGATTTAATAAATTAAAATAAGAAATTTGTTCAATTTAAATGAGGCAATGCTAACTACCGTTGATAACTGACGGATAGGGAATTAATGGTCAAATAACGAGCACTTCATTAGCAGTGAAATGCGCGACGCTGACACACACTCTCACAGACTCGCAGACGCGCTACAAATAACTCACATGTGTCGAGATGGCCATTAAAGCGGCAAAAATATACATATACACACACACACACACATGGCAATGGTAACGTAGCCGCAACAAAAGTCAGCTTAAAATAAATTTAAATTTTAATTTCAATCTCAGTCAAGCAACAAAGCAGGAGCAGCAGGGGCAGTGGCGATGGCGGTGGCAACAAAAACAATAAAAACAGCAGCAGCACACGACCAACCCAGAAACCAAACGAGGCAGCGAGGCAGTGGCAACTGTGCGGCATTGAGAGCGATGTTGCCGCTACCGCTGCCACCGCCACTACCACTGCCACTTTTGCCGCTGCGTAGACAACTTTTAGGCGCGGCACAGCTGCCGTTTGTGAGTGCGGTCTGGCTTCTGACTCTCTACAGTGGAACCGACTGAGTTGCAATATTTCCAAAGTGAAATTATCGGATTTCTGGCACCTTTCTTTGTTGAATTCAATAAGAGTTAAATTTTCTCCGTGTTAAAACCTAAAAAAAGAGCCTCTAATGATTCAGAATTTGAACAAGTTTTATTACTGATTATGGTGGTTTTGTAAATAATATTGTGACTTAACATCTACATGCATCTACTTTCGCCTTCTTCAGTTTGAATTACATGTGATTTGTGATTAGTTGCATTTCTTTCTCTTATTTTTAAACGGTCTGTAATTTATAATGGTATTTTTTTTTTTTTTTTTGACGTATGGTGTTACATTAATTGATACCAGATGGTTTGTGGTACATCTTAAGTTACTTTTTTAAAACCAGCCCTTTTTCGTGCACTTACATAACCTGCTTGGTTTTTCTTATATAGTGTTAGCGTCAAAAGGGAGCTGTTTAGTATCTTACTATTTTATTAAATTTCAAGGCAAACAATAATTTGTATGTCTTTTAAGAAAATAACAGCGTGAAGTAGAGATATTTTCGGTTTCTGATTACAGTTTGAGAAACATTGGTTGCCCAAAGAGCGTAGGGGTATTTTCTGTTTGACTAACATGCTAAGCTATGGCCACACAATTCGGCTGTATTTTTTACTGTTCATATACATACTTTAGATACATACTTTATATACATACTTTAAATATAAATAACTGCTTAAACACGTTTGTTTCATTGTAATAATCTCCACTGTGCCTGTGCATGAATACATATGTTTGTGTGTGTGTCTGCATATTGCACACGAGGGCGAACTGACGCATAAATGACTTAATGTTGCATACATTCCAGTGTGTATTTGTATGGATGTGCTGGTTGGTATGTGTGTGTGTGTGTGTATGTGGGCTCTTTATATATTCATATGCTATGAATGAATAAAGCGACGCGCTTTGGTCTGTTACCTTTGCTTTCGCTTTTGCTGCTGCTGCTGCTCAACTGCTCCTTTGGCAGTCCCTTGTTCGCATGGCAGGCCGCAACCATACATATGACGTATACGGCATGTTGTCTGCTCAAGCGCACACTTGACTGGCAGACTTTGATGTAATGTCTCCTGTGGCAAGTCAAGCTGCACGATTTAACCAAAAACGAGCCACGCAACGCACACAGTCGTCATACGTTAGCAGTAGAGGCTGAAGCGAGGGCGGAGAAGAGCTCACATGTTGAGTCATCAGGCTGCGTTAGTGTGTATTTAATGTGTGTGGGTGTAGGCGTATTCACCGCAATGGAATAGCGAGCCCTTTCAGCTCTAATGACATATGGTTGACCGCCATACAGCCGCCGTCGCACTAGACTGTAATTACCCAACTTGCATAATTTAGCAGGCAAGTGATGGAGATTGCTGTAAAATTTTTGTGAGTTAGCCAACGCCTTTTACGTGAACGCGTTGTGCATTGTTTTGTATTGATTTTGCACACACATTTCATATTCATGCAGGACCATATAAGAGAATATGATTGTCGGAGCGAATAAGCCCCATGCGCCCCATGTTCAGCACTAGAGCTAAGTAGAGTGTTCGTTTTTCGCTGCTGCTTACCTCTTCTCCTAATAAATCACAAAGGAGGTCTTAAAGCGTCCATTTTGAACTTCAGTTTTGTTTTTAATGCCTTAAGTAAACGAATCGATTCTTGTTACCTGATGTATGGTAATGGAACCTATCGCTTTTGGGCTTATCTGATATTGGAGTGCCCATATTAGCAGCCATTTGTATGAATTCGTTTTCATTGCAAGCCAACCGCTTACACATTTACTTACCTACGGCTTCATTGCAACATTTTCGCAGCTAAACTGCATTTATTTGTGTTTACATGTCTTTGTCTGAACGCGATTTAATATTTATTTGAACGCTTTCTTCGCTTCCTTCAGCAAAATTATATTTACAATATGTGTATATTTCTGGCTGATATTGCAACCAATTTTGAGCAGAATTCCACCAGCTTTATTGACTTTTTGATATTTACAAATAGCAGTAAGGTGTTCCCGCATATTCATATATAGTTTTTTTTTTTGGCTCTACCTTAAATGATTCCAAAGTCCACCCCGTTCTGACAAACTGCACATTGCCAACCTAGTTGAAGTTAAGGCCGCCAACCACTGTCTTCCATGTGGTTAGTTTATGTCATTTCGACCATTAATTGCCGTCATCTAAATTCATATTTCCTGCCATTTGGCTCAGTTTAATTTGCGGTCAACATGCAAAAACTGTTTACTCAATTGTCAGGTCATTTTTCTGTGTGACATTTTGTCGTTCGCCATTTGTTAAACCTTAACCCAGAATAGCTCCACAAATAAATGCTGCAAATTTGTTAAGTAAATGGCAATTTTTGTTAATTGCAAGCTAAGGTTTTAGGCCAAGATGGGCCAGTTCCGCCGCACATATTTCTATCGCATCACATTTGGTAAGTGAAACGTTTCTTTCCTTTTGGGTCATTTGTTATGTTTGTTGTTTTTGGTAGGCAGGAGCACGATTGCGCTGATGAGAAGCACGTGGCTAATATACGAGTATGAAGGTCGATGTTGGCTATCGTGTTACGGAGCTTCACAGATTTTGCGCAATTTTTGTATAATCACTTCGAAAACCACCCGAGGAGGCTGGGGCAAAGAGCCTTTGTGAAAGTGGAACGAAATGTGCTTTAAAGAAATTATATAAAGCTCAATGCGAGTTTGAGAAAATACAAGAAAATATCGATGGTAAAATAAATCTATTAATTAATTTAGATAGATTACAAAATTGATGACTGATTTTTTTTAACTAAATTAAAAGTTCACCTATTTGCTGTCTTAGCAAAGAGCTGTTATTGGTTGTAAGAGCTCAAAGCGGAATTGTTGACCTTCTTAAATAAAAGTATTATTAAGTAAAATAATTGGGTGGATTTCTTTAACCTTTATTGACCATCTTAAATAAAAGTATTATTAAGTCAAATAATTGGGTGGATTTCTTTAAAACAGCCAATCTATAGTTCTTGTGTCTTACTAATAATTTAATTTAGACGTCTCGTTATGATTTAAAAATCACTGCTTTTCCAGCATTTTCTGCAGCATTCTGTTAGCAGGTCGCAGTATTTCACAAGTCAGTGCGCACTCTATACTCGGTTTATTTTCTTTTAGAAATGACCCTCTGATGGAAATGCATAGGCAAATGGAAATCAACTTGAATATTTTGCCGTGACTTTAATGGACATGCGGGCCATGAAAGAGGTGGCCATAACGCAGCTTAACGATGCGCCAAATGTTGTCCATATATCGCATATCGTGTGAATGTATTTATATTGGCTATAGTACGGTGTGGCATTTATTGCACCAATACTGCAACGAACGTGTTCATGTTGTTTGCCTTTTCCTTTCGTTCTGTTGCATACTTTCGGGCGAGTGCACTGATTGCGCTCCGCTGGTGGCTTTAATGAACGTTTTTTGGCTTAAATGTTGTTGCTGCTTACAGTTTTCATGTTTTCGAAACATTCTTTTCCTCTTGTTCGGCTACTGTGGCATGCAATTGTGTCGTAAACACGCAAATTAAAAAAGAGAATACAAATAAAAAACAGCCATCGCTCGCTGTTTGCCGATATCATTTTTTTAACCTTAACATTTGCCATGGCAGCAAAGTCATGTTTATGGATGAAAGTGTTTGTGTGTCTGGCACACATTCATGGCCATAATAAGCGCTAACATATCCCTTTGTAGGAACTTCAACTCATCATTTAATTTCCGCCGCCGTTTCAACGATTTTGCAGCTACTTTCTGTTTTCTTTTCGTTTACCCTAATTTTTTACTTCATTCGTACTAAGGATAGCTGCACCCAAAACCATAACTTCTAGGAGTATGTGTATGTATGTATTACTTTATATACTAGTATATACATTTAGTGCGTGAACACTATATTCGTACTACATTGAAGGCAACGTCAGCATTCATAAAGTCGGTGTGCGTGTGTATTTGTTGCCGTTTTTATTTTTACAAAAACAACACCATTTGCAACGTTTTAGTTACTACCAGTTTTTAACTAAGTGGCGACAATGTTTGGGCTCTATAACACTTTGTTTGGGTGTGCGTTTATATAACAATTTGTTGGTATGCCTGCCTTTTGGCGCAGCACGCACTCAAGGCTAATTAAAATAACTGCAAGCCAAACAGCGGTCCGGGCAGGACGAAGACCACGAGAACGTCAGGCAGTCAGTCCGTCACTCAGTCCATGTCCCGTTACTGTTGCTTGTTGTTGTTCCTTATATGGCAGTAGCTGCCAGGTAGTTAGTTGGCCCAAATACGCTGACGTGTTGCCTTTGCGTTTGCCATTTTTTTTTGTTCTTCGTTCGAAACTTGGCAAAAACAAAACGATGCATGGCGCGCACAAAAATGGCGAACAAATTTGCTAAATTCATATGTAACTTGTGCGCGTTTACAAAATGTTTTTGTGTCATAATTTCACATGGATTGTTGAGGATGTAGGACACTTCCGTAACTTAATTAAACTTAAGTGAATGTTCAACGTTGTTTTTTTATTTTTTGAACTATTAAAGTTGTTAATATTGGGGAAGGGAGAATGATTTCGTAGTGCTAGAGCAAAATAGAGGAATTGTTTGATCTTTTGGAGGTCAATCTAATATGAACCTTATGAACAATGATACATACATAAAAGTTGCATATCTAAATAATAATAATACTTTATTTATGATTGCATAAAGTATCAATTACATTAATACATCGATGCCGAAGTTGCAATGATAAAATATCATTGCATTACATTTACGTGTGTTCGTTATAAATTATAAAAACAATTTGTGAATTATTACTAATTACAATTTGTAGAGCAGCTGATCACTATCGGAAGCTTCTCCCATACTTTTTAAGCAAATAACCATGCTACACATGTTGTGGATCTATTGTTAATCTACTTTAATCTCTCTTTTAACATTTTATGTTTTAATGTTGTCTGTTATTTATAATTTTGATATTAAGGTTAATTAAGCCACCAGCAAACTTTTTCAGCCATTTACAGTTGACAGATTTTGAGCGCGCCAATGAGAACTTTGCAATAATGTCAGCCATTTCCATACTCTAAACACAATTCAATTGAATAAATGGATTTTTTCTTCCCCATTATTTTTACTCTTAACTATTTACAGCACTATTTAAGTCAACAAATTAAGCATTCGTCTAGTTAATATACTCATGAAGGTTTAGTACAGTTATGCATAAATCGTCGTGTTCCTTGCAGTGTAATCCGTCTTTATAGTTAAGCTTAGATAACTGTTTAGCAAATCTATTGAAAAGTTGCAAAGTTTTGAAAATGCTGTGCAATGCGAGTGACAAAAGGTACAAGGTCGTATTCTAATATAGTGAGAGGCCACGGGGAAACAAAAAACCAAAAAATAGGAAAATGTAGTCGGCTCTTAGGCGATAGTGTGCTCGTGTGTGTGTAACATAAGCTGGCAAGAGCTGTGCCTGTGTGTGTTTATTTGACAGCAGCTTGAGAGCAAGATAAAAGCCAAGATTATTGTAAACATACTATACATAAAAAATACATATATACATATAACAGACATACATCTAGCGAAATATTTAATGAAATTTGAAGAACAGGCTTTAGGTTATTTCCATGTGCTTCTGTGTTAACTAAGATTAGCAGTGATAAGTATCATTGAAACGCTCGACACATGTATAAATATATTTGTATACATATAGGTATATATATATATATATATATCCATACACAGATGCATATGTGCGTGCTTAAGTGTTTAGGCTTTAGGTGCTTTTTATACCATAACATACAAACCGGACATTAGTTAGGCCCAATGAGAAATAAAAATGCTTCTGACACAAGATGGAAATTTGCATAAAATATAATAAATACATAATTCATTTATTTTGTCATACGCCGCAAAAAGCAAAGCTCCAAAAGCAAATACACAGACAATACGCCCAAATGCATGCAATTTGATTGTGGACAGAGCATATTTTTTAAATGTTTATATAAGCGGAAAATTTATAATTATATACATATACATCAATATATGATAACATAACATATTTAAATAAGACACAAGGACAGCGACAGCAACAACAACAAATTTTTTAAATACATATTTTTTTATATACAAACAAAACAACAACAAAACAAGGCGACAACAAACTGAATACTGAATACACTGAGAAGAAGCACAAACAATATTTTTGAAACCTTAGCCTAAGTTCAAATCGAGCCGAATACTTTTGTTAGATTAGTTAAGTGAACAATATAATTATTTTGAATGGTTTCACATAAGGTTTGTGTTTTGAACAAAGTTGTTTTTTTTTGTAAGCTGTTAAGTTGAAGCTTAAGAAACCAACCCAGAGTACAATCATTTATGTCAAACAGACACACACACAGGACTAGAAGCTTAAGGAGCATCAATTGCAGGGCCTACAATCGCACAGCAGGCTACAGAAAAGGGAGAAAGGCATAAATCGAGCTATTTACAGGGACAGAAATAACAAACAAAAAAACAAAACAACAAATTTTTGCTACACTTTTTTGAATTCCACATTTTACACACGCTATACTCGTAAAAGTAGTAACGAACTTGAAAGTGAGATTAGTAACCAGCAGTAACCAGTGCACTCAAAAGCGAAAAAGAAGCTAGCGGCGAACAAGTTAGAAATTAGAAGTGAGTTTTAACGCGAAAAGTTTAGTTTAAAGGCGGAAAAGTGAGATTAAATTCAAATAAGAGAAACTAGTATCAAAACAGTGGGGTTAGAAAGAAGGTTAGCGCCGTGTTTGTGAGTTTTAAGGCAAACAAGTGCCGAATTAGTAATGTTAGACACAAAAAATTGAGGTTTTAAACGAACAAGTGAGTTTAAACTCGATTAGGTAAGACCCACTGCGCTTGCATTTAAGCTTCAGGCCGCATAGAGGTAGATTTAAGGGAGCGAGCTACACCTCACTGCATCCACTTACCAATCGACCACCAAATTCACCACTGACGGCTCCAAGATGTATGCAGCCGCCGGTGGCGCCTCGCTGGCCTCGCGCCAAGCTCGTCAACGTCAGCGCCAGCAGAAGAAGAACCAACAACTACAAGCGAAACTCCATCCACCGAAAGCGCCGGGCGCTGTGCTCGTGGCAGATGTCAGCGGCGGCGCCTCGACTCCAACACGAAGTCAATCGCGCCAGTTCCATCAGCTGCCCACCAGCTATCTGCGTGCTCCGCAGCCGCAGGGACGCAAGCTTAGTGCCACCTATACGACGCAATCGAAGCTCCTACTGCCAATCGACGAGGGCGATACCCAGTCCGTGCTGCAGTTGCGCATGCATTCGCACTCCCATCAGCATCATGCACACGCGCACGGGCATAGTCACAGCCACATGCATCATGGTCATCTGCAAGGTGGCACTGTGGCACCTCCACAGACGCCCTATCAGCAGTTCGCCTCGTCACACGGACGCGTCTCACCGAAGCTGATGCATCGGCACTCGGGCAGCAGTGCCGGTTTTCATCCGGGAGCTGCAGCTGCAGCGGCAGCAGGAACAGCCGCCGGACAGCTGCACAAATCGGCGACAGCGACGCTGCCGCTGGTCTCACAGATGGAGGCCACGCCGCCGACGACGCCATCGGGTGCGGTCGGCGTTAAAACGACAGCCACGTCGTTGGACACACCGCCGCCAAGCACTAGCGCTTCTGCGCAGGCGGCAGCGGCTGCCGACGATGAGCTCGCCGGCGCCGCAGCCATAATTGTACCCCACCATGATGCCATCATTGTAACGCCGGCCACGCCAATGGCCTCGCCGGGTCACGTGGCCAAGCTGAGACGTGGCGAAGATTTGCCCGAAGGCGCCCCCGAACGCCAACCGCTCACATCCGGCGCTGCCCTCGAAGATGGCTACGATGAGGATGAACCCATGCAGCCGCCTACAGGGCCCCTGGAGCGTAAATGTAGTGTCTATCGCATGCGACGCAGCGATGCTTTCGAGGATGGGATGGGCGGTGGTTTTAAACGACAACTGCGCGAATTGCAGTTCAGCGGCACTGGCCAACAAACCCAATACGAACCACTCGTCACAGATGAGCCACAGCTGGTGTTCAAGGGACTCGCCAATGGACGCAAGTGGCAGTTGTGCGCCTACTGCGAGGAGGGTATATGCATGTGCGAGCACATTGAGGTAACACTTAACACTTTTCAATACAAGTATTCCGCGCTTCTCTCGGTGCTGGTGGTGGTTTTCGTGTATCAATTAAATTTGCTTAATCTTAATTGTTGAATTAATACTTTTTATGACCTTCTGCAGTCACATAATAATATTTTATACTTTTTAAATTTACTAATGATATATGAAGTGTTAGAAAAACAACTATTTTTAGTCCATCGAATTTTAAACAGATAAGGTATTTATAGTATTTTATTCAAAATAAGTGCATTCAGGTTAGTTGGTGGGTTTCTTCTTGTTTACTTCTTCATAGAAGGAAAAACAGACTCGCTACAGCTAGTAACACTGATTACCATAATTAACTCGTACGAAAACATCTGGGTCGATGAAATTTTGTTTAACTTCAGCTATTTGTTGGAGATGAACATTTCGGTTTACCTTTCAACCATGGGTTAAGCCGCTAGGGCGGGAATGTCTTCAATATCATGGTAGACAAATGCTATTAGTAATGAATTCTAAAGCACTTCTTCTTCATGATAGTAATACGATATGAAAAGGGCCAATAAAATAATATAAAATTAACATATAGTAATATTTATAAATAAATGCCATTTAGACTACATTGATGTTGTAATCAAGTGACAACGAACAACAATCATAAAATAATAATTGTTAGTGGAAATTTATGCTCATTTTTGTTGTTGCATTGTGCACTTTCCAGGTATGCCAACAGCTTACCGACAAATAATCAATTTTAATATACTTGAATTGTAGCTTGAGTAGGAGGTTTATGTCAGCTAGTTACATAATTTAATCTGCAATCTTTATTGCTAAAGGAATGTAAATGGGGAGCTTATGGCGTGACCCAAATATTAATTCAGCAATAAACTTGCGATATCGTAACATTTCCGGTTACGTTGAAAAGTAGGCAGCAAATAGATATCAATTTCTCAAGAATTGACAGCGCTATCAAACTTGCCAAAGTTGCCAACCTCAGCAAACTTGCAAACAAACCGACGCTCAAAGTTGGGACCCAACTGCAGCGCCTACAAATATGCAACAAGAAATTGTAAGAGCTTATGTGGGTGGCTGCCAAGTCAACAGCTTCAATTGACCGCCCCAAATGCACTGACAACAAAGCATGTCATAGCGACTGCAAATGCAAACAGGCGTGCAATAAAGTTGACAAACAACAAAATCAAGTTTTGGCAAATGCCCTACAAAATTTCAGCCAAAAGCTGGAAGAGCACATCTCCTTTCTTGATGGTTATTTGTATGTTGATCTATTTAGGAACCAATCTATTTTAACAAATATATCTAAATATATATATCAAGATGATTTTAGCAATTCAATAATATAATATTCAATAATATTTAATTTAATTGGATTGAAGAAGGAATGTTTATTTATGGAAAATGTATTTGATATCTTTGGATATTGGTTTTGGGCTTGGTACTTTGTTTTGACATACGAACAGATGGCACTTCGATTTCAGAAAGCCTACATGAAGCTTAAATTGCAACATTTTCCAGAAGTGTTGAATAGCTTTCCGTGTTTGACTATGGCTATGCAATATCTTTGGATATTGGTTCTGGGGTTGCTTCCAGAAGTGTTGAAAAGCTTTGCGATTTATTACTATGACTATATCCAGAAGCTGACCCCCTTTGCAATTATTTTCACAGTAATTCTTATAAGGCACAAGCCCTATTAAGCAAATATGAGTTTATGGCTGCCATAGTTCTTGACTTTTTCAAAGAGCCTCAAGAAATGTGAAACAATTGTTTTATTCAAACTATCATTAGCAAATCCTAAACGTAAACATGCTTGTTCCCATGCTTATTCTCATTGACATGATGCTAGTATATACAAGTATAATAGACTTAAGACTCGAAATATGACTTTATTTTCATTATGGTTGTTTGTTTATATGGTTTATATGATTTTAGTTTGAAATTTCGAAAAGTTTTTTATTCTCTCGCAATGTTTTTATTATAGAAAAAAATTCAAATATAAAAATATCAGCAGTAAGTTCAGTTTGTAATTAATTATTTCCAGCTAAAATTGCTAAATCTCCCACTACAAGTTGATTAGAATATATTACTACGACTATATATGGCATAGTGTCTTCATAGTCGACATAGCTCTGATTGTAGTTCATAAGTACTTCTTTTCTGTTGTTGGGCGCTCGGAAACTTTGGCCCAGCGGGTAATAGTGGCATAACAAGAGTGAGTTGCAAATTCGGAAGCGCATAATGTGCCTTTGTATCGGCCTGATAATGTTCCCCCTCCCACAACATCCGCAGCAGTAAGCTTGTTGGCAGCTTGTTTGGCTATGCACGTGCCCGACGCCGTTTGCCAAATGTTGTGTAAAGGGGCCAACAAAATCTGTGTCATCAAAAAATAAAAAAACACGCCCCTTTGCTGGCCAAGGTAAGAGCAACTAAGTGCATTCCCGGGCGCCAGCTGAGGCTGCTGTGCAACTTTAAACTTTACTCCTCCAACTCAAATCCTTAAAGCTTGAACATCGTTAGGGCGCGCCTGACGAGCGGCAGTTGCCATAAAGCGAGCGGCAAATTAAAAAACTTAGCGCTGTGCAATTATTTGGCTTGCATAAGCGAGCAAAAATAAATAATAAAACAAAGCCAAAAAATCTGAAAATACTGAGCAAAAATTAAACAAAAAGAAAATGTCCTCAGTGTGCAACGGAAGTGCAGCAACAACGAAAAGTAGAAGAAGCAGAAGAAAAAGCAAACAACAAAAATGAATGGCGCAAACAGCAGAGTGAAGGAAATTTATTATATTTCGCATCGCCCACACAATGCGATGTTCTCGGCTTTCCCCCAGCATCCGTCACGCCAACCGCCACTCGAGTCTAAAAGGGAGACATAGATATAGTTTTTAGTTTTCAGCTCAGACACAGACAAAGAGACAGACAGTGGGACACAAAAACAACGGCTAGTAAATTAGCTGGAAAATAGTGAAAAAGTGTGCGGCAAAATGGCGGACGCCAACAAAATGCAGTGAACGACAAAAAAAAAATATATATATACATATATAGATGAAGAAAAACTTGTAATAAAGGTAAAAAACGAGGGTAAATGAGGAGAAAGCGTTTTATGAAATAAGCACAAAAGATGGCGACATTGAGATAATGCAGTTGCATTAGCATTAATTGGCGTTTCTCGGCACGGGAAACACGCCCCTTCCTCCCCTCCATTTCACACCGCTCTATTACCGGTGCAGCTACAGAATTACGGATTAGAATATACTTAGTTGCAAGTTGATGCTGTTGGCTTTGTTTTTCAAATTTCGGACAGGCAGAAAGCCATTTAAATGAAAGGATTTCAAGGATATTTGCGTAATGAATGAATGAATGAAAGTGTCATAATGAAAGCGAATTTCATTAAAATTCACTTTGTTTCAAGAGTGCCTCGGTGCATTAGTCTTTGCTTGAGTGGGAGAGCATAGAATAACTTTTACAATACCACAAAATACTAGTAGCAAGCATTTGAATGTCAAACAGAATCAATGGCTTAGAGATTAGGCAAAATATTTTTGACTTTCCACTTTTCAATGGATATTTAAAATACATGTCTCGGCTCCTTCTATATCTTAAAATGTTTACAACAGCAAAGTGTTGGATGAGCACAACTGTTAAATAAATAAATTCTCGATACTTTGTGTGCAATTATATTTTTATTATTTGTTTGTCAGCTTTAGAATATTTTTGTTGAATAAATTAATTGAAATTGAAACAAAAATGAAAGGCTAGCATTTATAAATTGAATAAATATTTTGTAATTTTCAATTTCCTGTTTCCTTAGAGACAATGCATTTGAAGGCAAACAATGAATGTATTTCGAAAATGTAAAAAGTGATTGCTGACTTTGCATTTCAATTTCATAGCAGAATCGAACAAATATTTTCTAACATTTCATTTTGTTGCTTACCACACTATGAAAATGTTGTACTTTTTAACTTAAAAGGTTTAATTTTATAAAATGCTATCGATGTGTTTATAACCACAAGCTTTTTCCTCAATTATAGTATAGCGCCTAAATAGCGCTCCACAATGGTCTAAAGTCGTTTATAGTTGCTGACATTTTATTACAAATATAAAAATAATAGTTTTACGCTTCTTTATTATAAGTGGAATTCAATTTAGTGCAATCATTATGTTAGACATTTTGGGAATGCGGCTTAGGCTTCACAATTCGCTTGTTCAGCAACAAATCAAATTTAAATTGTTAGTCATGAACGCTTCATTGCCTATCTGTCCAGCTCAGTGGTCATGTGCCTGCCCGTGCCCCTGGCATAGCCCGCACCCGCTTTCGCTTTCCAACACTTTGTCCAATGCCAACGTGCGGCAGCTCAATTTAATTTTCAATTACGCGACGTCTGCCAAAAAGTGCGACGGCTGTTGCAAAATTGCAGCCTCAATAATTACTCAAAATGTCGCCTGTGGCCGGCGCCAACTGCCAAGCGCCAATTTCTTCTACTTCCTCCCGTCACTCTTTCCTTCTTTCTCTCTCGGTCTCGCTGTCTCTCCATCTCCTTTGCTCTTTTTGAGCTGTCTTTATCTGCTGACCAAGCCCCATGAGAGCGTTTTTCGTTCTTTTTTTTGCTGCTTTTGTAATTGTTTGTCAGTCTCGTCGCTGTGACTTTTTTGAATGTGTCTGTATGCTTTTTTTTTGTTGTTGTGAGAGTGTGTGTTGGAATTCTCGTAATTGCAAGTGACGTGTTGTGCTCATTCGATATGGCTCCCCTGGTGGCCCAAATGCTCGTGTTCAATGACAACTCAACAATTAAGTGGCAATCAGCGCTCTGTCAGTTGACTAAGCGGCAGTTGCAAGTGGATCGTATTTTTTGTTTTATTACATACTTTTGCGGGCGCTTTATTGAATTATGGTTGCATAATTCATGGACCACTGCACATAGCAAACGAAAGAGAGTGAGAGAGGGAGGGAGATAGCGAACAAAACATATATAAATGCTACTCGTTTATTACAAAGCC